ACTATTATTTTAAATTATTATTAAATTAAGTTAGAAAGGCATAGAATTATGGATCTCACAGTGTTTTACAATTATTACTGATTTTATTCGATGTACTTATCACAAAGGGTGAGAAGATTTAATAATAAAAAAATTTTTTCGCTAGAATAGACTCGAAAAACTGTAAGACTCGATTCCTGAACTTATATAATATTACTTAACTTATAATATTATTTAATAATATTATAAATAGTTCAGGAAAAGAGTCTTGTAGTTTTTTTCCTAGCTTTACCCGAAATCCAGTTTCCAAAACCTAGTATTACTTATACTATTGTGTGTTATAAGTGAAATTGTACCTCGATGATTGTTTATGTACAAATGTATAGTTTTCAGATTTTTCGCTGTAGTTGTATATGATAAGACATGATATGCTGTGTAGTATAAGACATTGTTGGCTGACTTGCTAACGGGAAGTACCTATGTATTTGATGAATTACGATTTTCTTGATAGTGTCGAAATATGAGTTTTTTACGGCCGTATCTTTTTGTTACGTTAACTTCGAAGTTTGTTTTTTTTACAGCTACAAGGGACTTGAGTATATTGTTTTAATTTCAATTCGATACCTTCACGCGTTCTCGAAATAAAGGGTCTTGACAGACGCACAGGTAGGCAGACGGAAAACAAAGTAATCCTATAAGGGTTCCGTTTCTTCCTTTTAAGGTAATGTACCCTTTTTTTTTTCCCGTGCGGAAATCCCCTCGGATACCACCTGTCGGTGGCATGTCGGACTAAACCGGCACGCCGTCGCCGGGTACTAATAGCCGGGGAACCAGGTATACCCTAGAAAGGAAGTCCCTGGTGTAGGTAATGTACCCTAAAAATAGCGGGAGTTCTTACCATTAAAATATTTATATAATAATCAACTATATTTCAAATTATAATATATTTATATATGTACATACAACATTCCGGACACGTAACACAATTTCGTTTCAATTAAAACAAGTGAGGGATTATCTCAATTCTCTTTTTGCGTGATAACATATAGTGAACGTCATTTCGGTACTGAACGTCATGTAGAGGACGTACGAGTTTTTTACGTAAAAAAAGTAATTGTATAAACTTACCACCTATACTCATCGCGGTTTAAAATTCCGTGGAAAGCCGTCTGAAATGGACTGACAAACAATTTTAAAACCAATTTTTTATATAGGTATCCTCTAAATATTGAGGAGCATTAAGCAAAAAGCTGTTTTATTTTATTTTATTTATTATCTCATAAAAAATCAAGTAATTTACAATTGTGTTATATGTAGCATAGTCAGGCGCTAAGCTTTGTACTATGCAATAATTTCAGTCATATACACAAATTATTTCTCTACTTAACTATGTTATTTCTTGCCTTTCATAATATTTTGTTCTCTTTATTAAATGCGTGAATATATTACAAACAGAAACTCCAATTTTTACTTATTTGTATTGATTAACTAAAATCCTCATGCCCGCGTATTACGAAAATTATATCAGAAATTTAGAAAAACAAGAAGGAATTCTGAATAAAACACACTAGGTAAGCTGAAACATTCATCGCGTAATAAGAATATTTCATATCACGCATATTACTGGACGAAGGCCTCTCCTTAAAAAGGAGATTTTGGTTTTGCCAACAATAGGTGGTAATGATTTACATACCTAGCATTCAGAAGGCCGTGCGTAAGGTGTCATAAAAAATAATCGTAGAATCGTAGTTCTAAGTTAATTACTCTACAAAAATAATTTCAATTCTGATTGGTAATTAAGCAAAGTAGGTTGAATAAATTAAAATTTACATTAATAGCAAATAAGCGTAGTCAGGTAAGATGCATACCATTAAACAGGTTATTATTGCGGGTAACAGCTGCTTCTAATGGTCCACACGGAGCGATGGCGGCTCGTTCCAGCTAATGGAAGGTACTACATGGGAACGCCTGCCTACCCTTGATTTATAATCACAATTTATAAACGTCAGTATTTTCACTCAGTTAAATTTCATAACCGTTTACCCCTTATACTCCCAGTTTTTCTCTTCTAATTTAATGTACAGCGTAAAGAATAAAGGCGCGTCATCCAAAAAAATATTTGGAATCAAATTGCATCGTCTTGTAGGTACTGAAAAATTTATGAAAAAAAACGTTTTGTTTTTTTAGAATATATGTAAAAAAAATTGGTTTGGGAAAGGCTAGGAAAAAAGATACTAGCTTTTAATTTTTTTAGATACGCACTGCATTTCTTTATCTATGGACTCTTTAGAGTCTTTTATAACATACTCGTAGCTGCATAATGTCTCCTTTATTTTATGAATTTATCTATGGCTATCGACTTTTCAAATTAGTTTTTGTATTGTTTTACATTATTAAATGTAATAATAACTGTGTGTGTGCTATTAAATAAAATGAAAAAATATAATAAAGAATTATTTTAGTCCATTAGCTGTAGAACTTTCGTAGATTACATTTTTACATCTCTTTAAACGTGTCTGATTCATAAAATAATCATCTTATACTTACTCTTGTCTGTCTTGTCTTATATCTTGTACTTCTGCATATATAATATCCAATGAGTATATTCCTTTTCCTTAATTTATTACTTTTTTCAATATCTAATGAATTGTAAATTATAATACGAGTAATATGGGCGGCGGCCATCCGCCGCCTGTTGCGTCAGACGTTGAGTCTTTATATCTAAATCTTTGCTGTTTTTCAGCTTGCAGTTGCCACGTTATTTTATTTTTTACTTCCTTATATACCACTACAGTATTTTTAAATACGTAAATACTATAAACTACATTCTTTATTGATACAGTACTTACAATTATAAAACTATTATTTGATTACCATAGTACTATTAAGTGATTACCATATTTTTTTCCACCACTTGAAAATAATAGCTGTAAAATGGTACAACTAAATTGATTAAGGAAATTAAAATAATCAAATAAGCTTATAATATTTTTCTTTCCTTTAGAGGGATTTTACTGACTTAGACGATAGTTTAAAAAAACGTAGATATTTACTAGAATTAGTTTCCTATGAATTAAATTTTAAGACGCTCAAATTATACTCAACTATTCGCCATTGTTCTTTAATTGGCAATTTGGCAACATGAAGCGATAAAAATTCACGGAATGGATTCTTTGGTTATCGGAGGTAATGTAATGAGCCTTAACTGTTTCTGTGTAGCATATCAGCTCATAACAATGTTAGTGATTATGGCAACGGTTTAACTAGAACGCTTATGTATATACGTTCGGCATAAATTTTTAATTTGGTCTTTTAGCAATGACATTGCAAGGAATCTTTAGTACGACAGCGGTACATGATTATTAGTTCTACTGATTATACCACAGTAATTTTGATGTTATTTTATACCCGTACAACTCAGGCTGCATATGTATTATAAAATATATATTTTTTTTTATTTAAAAAAGACAACCCCGCATTAGGAATATATCCCGTGTCGCGGGGGATATAACAAACATACATGAAACGGACACAAAGAACATCCAGACTCAGAACAACAATTTGTGGATTACACAAAGTGTCGTCCCATGTGGGGTTTGAACCCACAACACTCAGTGTAGTAGGAAGCGGCGTGGCGACCGCTTAAACCACTACGCCATCCGTGCAGTCAATTCAAAAAGATAATTAAAATCAGTTGACTTTCAATAAGAGGCAGTTAAGTTTTATACGTCGTATGGACATTTTCAAGCTTTTCTCGATTATAGAACAACTAAAAGTAGGAATTACTTGTAGTTTCGCAAAGCTTTCGAAAGACTATGTTCTCAAAATTAGGTCGGCTTTGAAAAAATAAAGCAAACAAAGAAAGCTTTAGAATGTATAATCATGTAGTTTAGTTTAGTGTTATATATTCTAAAGCTTCTAAACATCACATTATTAACTTGGCAATCATATTTTCTATAGAATTCATATGAATTGGATAGAAAATATGATTGCTAAGGCTCACGGAGTATATATATATATATGTTGAAAGTGCAGCGTGACTAATCTGTGGGTTATTTCCTGCTTCTTAACATATGTCGTAAGTAATGAAAAACTCGTTAATCTAAGGTAGCCCTGATGCCAGGCTATAGGAAAATCACATTTTCATATCAGGTTTGCCAACGGTGTGAAAATGGTGACCACTTTTGTATTTTTTTAAGTTTTGCTACTGAGCTCATCGGGTTATCCATTACTTACGACAGACCCTGCAATATAAAAATGAATTGATGTTCGTTAGTCTTATTAAAATTCGCGAATGGATGGACCGATTTGTCTGATTTTGGTTTTAAAATATTGTAGAAGTCTAGGAAAAGTTTAAGCGATGTGAAAAAAAAAACACAAAAACAACTTTTTTTTTTCATGAATACATGTACTCCCTAATAATACCAAAAGCATGCACTGTATTGTATTGTGTTACTGTGGTATAAAGACCAATTTGAATGCTTCATGCATTCAAACAACCCATGTGTTTTACACTGTTTGAAAAATGGTCTGACGGGTCTGACGGGCCTATAATATGTATGTATTTAGAAATATGTTTATCAGTAGTATGGTTACCACATCACAAGCTCTGCCTAGTTTATAATCAGACGGCCGTGTGAGTAACGTGTGAGGTTATTATGTGTGAAGTTATTATTAATGGTTGTTGCCCTAAGTAAATTGACAGGCGTGTTGGTCTAGTAGCTGGTAAATATGCTTGCTAAGCTAAAGATTTCTAGTCAGTATAAAACAATTGTGTAATGAACACGATGTCAATTTATTCTGTGTCCATTTACTTTGGTCATGGTACAGACTTTACTTAGTTTAGGTTTTTCGAATAATTTTACTTTTTTAAATTTTCTTCGACCCTGAAATACTACTTTTTCTGCTGTTCGAATACTTATGGTGTATGAGTTTCTATCAGGTTTAGGATCATTTATTTCTCACAAAGAATAACATGGACTATTCACTTACATTAGAAAAAATACAAATAAATTCCAACTTTATTCTTGCAGCATACCGTCTATGAAATCGTTACTAAATCCAAATTCTTTGGCTACATCGGCTATTGCATTATTTTTATTTACTTTTAATGTTTCTTCAACATTAAACATTATCATTTTTGATATTGGCAGTCTTTTTTGAGCTTCAGCCTAAAATCAATGCACCTCTTCTTCAAATAAATTTTATTTTCTTGAGATAAACTTGACTCGGACATTCTTGCGTACATAAATTCGTTTGGAACTCATGTTGTCAACAAATCAACAGTTGGAGAAACAATGTTTGTTCCAAGTGACTGCAGGAGAAAGACTTGAGTGTCTAGTAATTTTGTGGGGCCATTGTCTTCTCCTTCAAATGCTTTTAGTGCTACTTGTACGTCTTTTAAAGTATGTTTAAGGTAAAGCATGTAAAGTTGATTTGAGTCGTCACAATACATCTTGTACATCAGCTGTGTAGCTATCAGCTATCATGAACCATTGAAAATGAAAATGTAGCTTCAGTTCTCCCCACTGCTCTAGAATCCTACAAACAGCTGGTTCAATTAAGATCCAACGGATTGCACGGCCTTTCAATACTATTTTAGTGACTATTTTCATCAATTTATCTTGTCATAAAACTATATTCTTCTTGTCTTTTAGGTGAAATCGTAAACCAATTGTAGGTTTCCCGTAACTCTGTTTCTAGGTGTGGTATTTACTGAGGCATGTAAAACCGCAAGTTATAGAGAATGATATACACAGCGAATTAATACCATTTTTATTAAACCATGAGATCTCTTCAGTAGTTCGACAATACCATTATTGACTCCCACCAATACAGTATCTGTGCCAATTCCTACCATATTAGCGATCGGGATGTTAAGATCTTTCAAGGAATTAACAAGAACAGATGCCAAATTTTTTGCGTCTGCAGTTTCTACTAAAGAAATCCTAAGAAATGCTGATACAATGGTTTGTTTTTTTTGCACAATAGTACCGTATAACAATTCCCAGTGTTTTGAAACTGAAACATCACTGGAATTATCTATTAGTACACTGTGTTTTTGGTTACCCATATCTTCAGCCAATGATTGCATAAAATATGGATTCAAAACTTCGGTCATAATGTTAGTACACTTTGTCATGTAATTGCAGAAAAGTAAAAAGACAATGAAGAGGAAACAAGATTTTAAAAAAAATGGAATAAAAGAGAAAATGAAGTGAAACATAAAAAATATAAAATAAAAATCACACTGGCCCACACCACATTTTACTTAAGAAATAGCCTGCGCTAATTTATTTAAATTAAAATCATTTTTGTCTTCTATGTAATCAACAACTGAGTAATAGGCTTCTGGCACAATCCACGTTTTATTGCGGATTTAAATTTGTTAATACTTAAGTCTTGAAAGTTATTTGGAATTTTATTAGAAAATCGGATATACTTTTTTTATCTTTTGGAGCCTAGAGGCGGGTACTACAAGTTTATTTCTATTTCTGGTGTTTATAGAATACATCACTTCTTTTCAAAAAGCTATCTTTGTTTTTATGAACACATATTACATTTTCATATATATTGACTTGCAACCGTCATTGTAAACACATTTATTTAAATTTCTGCCACAATGAACGATTGCCTAAGTTATAAAGTGCTCGAATCGCTTTCTTTCGCAGTACAAAAATAGTTTGAATGTCCGCAGCATTCCCCATAGTAGAATACCGTACGACATTATGCGATGAAAATAACTGAAGTAAACAAGTCGTGCTGTATCAACATCAGCCAACTTTCCAATTTTCCTTACTACGTATGCTGCTGAGCTGAGTCTACTCGATAATTTATCAATATGTGGGCCCCACTGTAATTTATAAATTTAGAAGAAGAAAGAAAATTTAGAATCTAGTGTTATACTTAAAAATGTGGTAGTGTTCACAAGGTCTAACCCGACACCTTTAATAATCACAGTAATTTTCACTGGCTTGACGTTTAGCATAGTGAAACGTATACACTTAGTTTTTTGTTAATTTAAAAGCAAATTTTGTACGTCAAACCAATGAACCACTTTCGACATGGCAATTAGTAAGTGTAGGTTTTAGTCTAAATAATAATGATGTATTATCTGCAAACAACACAAGAGATTGTCCTTGACAAGGTGAGGTAAGTCATTATTATATACTAAAAACAAAAAAGGGCCTAGAATAGAACGTTGTGGAAGGCCCATTTCTACCACAGAGCCTGGAGACCGCTCACCATTAATATCAATTTTCTGAATCCTATAATAAAGATATGAAGCAAGAAGTTACAGTGCTTTATTCTTAAAACCATAGTGCTGTAATTTCCTGATCAGGAAAGATACCTAGAGAATCGTGGGCATTATCCCATTCATCAAATATATGTTATACTAGCTCAACACTGGCATCAGTTGTATAGCGACCCCTTATTAAACCAAATTGTCTATTGTGTAACAAATTATTATTATTATTAAAAAAGCTTTGCAATTGATCATACATATTTTTTTATAAACTTTAGCTAAATACTGTTAGTACTGAGATATAAAGTTAGTTGGTTCAGATGTACTACAAGATTTCAATAAGGGAATAATTTTACTAGACTTCATAAAATCAGGAAATACACCACTCTCAACACATTGATTAAATGTAAATGACAATTGATTAGCCAATAGAGATATAACTGTCTTAGTAATTAATACAGAATTTCCTCATAGATCGGTTGGGGAAACATGTTGGTCCTTAAATTCACTATCAAGCCTACTAACATTCCCTTTTAAAATTGATTCTGCAAGGCAAGGTGAGGAGTTCAGGATTTGGTAGTGGATACAGGAACATCAGTAAAAAAATCTCAAATGCAGCAGCAACCTCAGCATTTGATGTGATAATTTATCGTATATATTTAAATTAAGATCATTTTCACGGTATTGATTTTTGCCAGTTAGTTTTAATTTTTGAACTTATAAAACGATACTTAGCCAATTTACAAAGTTTTCTAAACAGCTTCGAATATTCTTTAACATAAATAACTATGAAACTGTTCACTTTTATTATAATTCCTCTCATTGTATAGCTCGTATAATCTTTTCCTACTTTTGAGTAAGCCAGGGGTACTAGTGTACAAAACATAATTCGGGAATTCCCTGAAAAGCATAGCTCTTGTGTTACCAGTGGTACAAATAATTTAATTATCAGTTAACACTACGAATAACAAGATATTGTTGAACAGAAATATATTTTATTATTACTCAATATTACATATGTTTTTTGTCAACTCGAATAAATAAATTAAGTAAAAAAATTCAAAATTTTAAGTAAAGATTGATAAGTTATCGACGATAACGCACTAGTAGTATGTAGTGCGTTGTTCTATAGTCAGTGAATTCTTACTATACAGCCAGTGGTCGCATTCAGGTCTACTAAATGGTCTAAATACAAAGCAGGTGCTGAGGTTAGATTAGTATACCTTACACTCAGTAAGGTATACTAATCTACTACTACATGTATTATGTTTGTGCTCGTTAAATTTGGCGTGCATATTTTTCACTCTAAATAAGAATGTTGCATTCAAATTTAACACAATAGATGATTTTTTTATCTAAATCTTAAAATAGAAGATTTTTGAACGCTCTCCAAAAAATAATTATTTAACTAGAGCTAGTCTTAAAAAAATGCAAAACGTAAATTTGAACAAATAATAATATATATTTAATGAAATAGCTGAAGTTACAGCATATATAAATGCAACTATAATTAAATTAAGTTTTAATATGGCGCGCAAGCGCGTTTTCTATTTCCATATATATCTCTTGGCACTGTATAATTCTGTCGAGTTCACAAAAAAAAAAAATTATTACAAGGACTAAAATTATTTTGATTTGTACTCTAAAAGTCATGAAATAAGTCGCTAAATCATTTATGTTGTGAAATCTTTTTTGTTGTTGCTAAGACCTAAACGAAAGTCCTAAACATAGTTTTTACGTGTGAGACCTCCAGGTATAAATCGTGTAAAAATATAAGTATCACTAACATTTGAACGAAATAAATTAATAAACAAAATAGTTACTTACATCAGACATAACCGTATTTTAGCGTCGTATATTGTTTTTTGTAATAGATATCGAACTTTGCCGAATGCTAAGCAAATTTATGAGTCCAATGAATAACAATACTTTTTGCCCCGTGTCATAAAGTAAGCAGAATCCTACTAAGCAAATAGTTATCAGCCACTATTTATGGAGCCATAATATCTATAAGTTGCATTAGCCAATTGATTAAAAAAAAACAAAAATATAAAGTTAGATTGGGAAATGGGTAATAAACAAACAAAGAATTTTGTAATGTAATCTAATATTTAGCAGTGCAAAGTACATTTACATGAAGTTGGTTGATCTAAATTACATACTGTATCAAAGCAGATAATGGAAAATTATTTTAGTCGCACATCATACAGCACATCCTTTCTAGTAAAAAGACTTTTAACTGTCTAAACATGTTAACATCGTCATTTTGTAGAGAGCACTGTTTCAGTGTGTTTGTTAAATAAGAGAAGGATATACATATCTTCAGACAATATCAACTCATATAAAACATTGGGCAGTGTTTTTAACACAAGGAAAATGTTTTAAATTATTTTTTCAGACATTCAATACGTTCAATTGGTACGTACATACACATATATACGTTTTCTTGTTAAAGTTTGAAAAGATTTTAAATAATTATGACGCTCCAAAGATATATTGTAATATACCTCTAAATTTGTGTAACTGGCAGTTTGGTTAAAGCAGAAGTTGTATACGAACGCTGAAAATATAAAATGAGTTATGAAAAACACCGAAAACTACTTTGCAGTACTTTGCCAAAAAATTTACTAGCAATAAATTTATAAACGTACAACTGATGAGCACAATTTGTTTTTTTACTTAATACTCAGTTGATCCTTTTACGTTTGTAATATTACATACTACATACAATACCATAATACTTAGGCACTCACACAAATTGTGACAGTATTATTACAATCATGGCCTAAGAAAATTTCTAAAAATGTCATGTTGCTAGTATAAAACAACCAACTATAAAGTACATGCAGACCACGGAGCCCCGTGATGCAGACACACACATGCTATGGCATGTCTGTGACTTACTAGTATCAGTTCTATGCTAGAAAGCCATAGAGTACCCTAACCACTTTCTATTGCTTTCTACCACTTTCTATATCATAGATATATTTATAGACTACTCGTAAATGTATTGTTATAATATTTTAGGTATGATTTAAACAGTTTGTTATTTACGTCCTCAAAAACTTTACGGCTAGTTATGAGAGGAAATTTTAATCGTATTTACATTCAATTATGTAACTGTCAAGGTCTTGGTTCGATATTTGATTCGTTGAACACATAAGAGAACTAAACAAAAATTTGATGCGTTTGATACGCTGTACTACACCTTAATACTATAATAACTGCCACCTGAGGTTATACAACAGTATTGAACACCAAGACAGCCATGTTTTACTTCTGTGTCCTTCAGTCTAATTAAAAGAGAACTTCACGAACACAGAATAATAAGTTTACAGGCCTGTAATGTGTACAGCGGGAACGTAAAGTGGGATAGCAATGCCTCGGCACATGCGGGTTGTGTCGACCAGTGGCACTATAACCTTGCAGAAAACCGTTATTCATCTAATTTTTTTCATTGTTTTTCACCGGGTGACTTATATTAGGAGGCCCAATTCCAATGGTGGTAACGCACTTGAGTTGCCCATGGGTAGCGGTGGTCACGCCAACAGGTGCTTTGTCTGATCGTATGCCATCAATACCATAGAATAAATAAAAACAGACCATATAATAGGGTACATTTCATTCTGTTTTGTTTTGAGGAATCGCACAAATAACTTAATCGATGCCGTTTACTTGTATTGCTATGAGTCTTAATAACCTTCAAGAGCGACGATTTATGGGTTCTTCAAGACGCCGCGCCCTTTAGTTAATTTTCATTTCTCTTTGTTATTTATTTCATAAATTAATTACGCTTTTAATTTGTTTACGTTGTTTCAAGTCAGCAAAAGAATGTTTGGTGTTCGCACATCGTAGACGTAGTAACCGAGTTCCTC